CTATGAAACTCTTTGTACACATATTTTTGATAATATAAGCTGTGTAACTCGGTTCTCTTCTCATCTACCTTTGTCTAATGTGTGAGTCTTCTGATGATTGTGTACGAGTATGATGCATGACATGTACACTCTTGCGTGAGATGGTCCCCAGGACCCATGCAAAAAAGACCCTTTTGCAGTTTAAATTTGAACACACTCTCAACTAGAATGCCTATATGCCTTGTACACGGATAGAGGGACCAAGCATTGTGCTCAAAATTTCAATAGAATGCCTAGAAGCACTCAAATGTGTGTGCTTCAATGAATGCCCTGCGTTGTGTTGAATAGAAAAAAGGTAGCTTCAAAATATTGTCAGTATGATCCCATGACGGCCTGTAAAGGCTGTGTGAGGCAGTGCTGGCTTAAGTCAGTCTCATGCGTAAAGAGTGTTTATTATTTCCATCCCTAGAACAGGGCGGTAGGTACTTCTCTTTGACCCGATCACGGCAAGCATTGCACAATGCTAAACTACACAAATCATGACATCCACCCCACCACTGCACAGCTGCAGCATGATCACCCATTCACCCACTTCAGCCCCATTGCTCTCTACACTTTCTCAATGGGGGAATTAGAGCCACAGCCATGTTTGTAATATAAGCAAGATGCAAGAGACGAACTGAATCATTGGAAGTCTGACTACACTAGCCTTGCCCATAAAACCACAGTTCTGCCCAGCTCAGCTAAACTTGTAACATTGGAAGTCCTTAAAGTTCAAAGCGCAACTCCCTACATTATCCACCCACATCTTTTTTCCTTCTAATGACAGAACAGGTTTAAGCAATTACTGATGTTCTCAGCTTGGGCCAGAAGGACAAGGCAAAATAGGATTATTGCAGAGCATCTGACAGCCAAACTCTTGCTTGCAGAACACTTGGAGACCATTGAAAACTAGGCTCAAATCAACGAAACGTGAACAGCAACATGCTTCGCGGGGATAAATAACATACTTGGATTTGATTTGAAACGCTTTTGATTGTTGAAATGTGAAACGGCACCATGAGCCCATATATAGGAAGGAGAACGGCTTCGTTCCTCTCATCAATCTGCAAGCACAATTTGAAAGTCGCAGCACCATAGCACAAATACGAAAACCCCAGCACAATCATAAACAAAATCACAAGGTGAGGCCATCATTTGTGTCTGCAACAAACGAGAAACTGAGTAGGTAATACCTGTTGTTGTATTATTCCCAATGAGCTTGAACCCGTGACCTGTAAATTACCAGTTCCAAGAGTGCAGTAGCCGCCAGGCAAGTCCATGGGAGCTACTATATTTTGAGTCCCTTAGAGGCGTGCATAACAGAAAGTCAAAACCTATGAATCCTCAGGACCAAGCCAGATGTGCCCATTCATAAAAGGGGAAAAAAACAGGAAAAGAAACAGTTACCAATTGAATGACAATAACACCCACCTATTCAATGACTTCAAGACAGTGTCAAAGCAACCTCCCATATCCTTTGACCAAACACACTGAAAAGATTCACTCAATTGCAGATGCCATACATAATATGAACTCTGAAGAATTTAGTTAAGAACTTAAACCACCACTACCTTTCTCAGTGTTGGGAAAAACGAGAATATACGTCACACGGTCACACCGCATTTTTCGGGGGTCTGGGCGAGGCTTGGCAAAAAGGACATGTTTGGGCCCTATGGGCCCGCAACCATCCATTTCTTGAAAAAAAAAAACGAAAACAAAAAGAGGAAGAATCCAAAGAAACTAAAACCTGAGGAAAGCCTTCGGGGAAGGCCCTAAGTGAACGCGGGCCTAACAAATCAGCGCAGCGCCATATCCCAGCCTTCATAGCTGGCTGGGGCTTGGTCTACAGTGAGGCGCAGAGGTGGTCCTCAGATGTATAGAGGGAAGACGTGGGTGTAAGTTCGGGGAGAGAGAGAAGGATGATGATGATGATGATGTGAGGGCACATACCTGGTGTTGGCGATGGTCTGCATGGGCGACATCTTCAAGCAGTTCGTAGGCTGCTGACGTCAACAGTTGCATTGTCAATTAGTAGGCAGACAGTAGCTGTGTAGGAAGTAGGCGGGGCGCCGAGCGCCAAGTAGGAAGAAAGGTCCTGGACACTCATTTTGGTGGTGAGAGCAAGCTCTCATTGACATTGATTTTCAGTGTTCCGATTCTTCACTGGTGTTATACTGGTGCAATTCTGCTTTCTGGGCACTGTGATATCATCTGGCCTTCAATGTGATTGTCCATTCTGGATATTGTCATCTCGCTATTGCTCTTTTTCCTTGCACACAGCATTTTTCGGGGGTCTGGGCGAGGCTTGGCAAAAAGGACACGTTTGGGCCCTATGGGAAAGAGGAAGAATCCAAAGAAACTAAAACCTGAGGAAAGCTTTCAGGGAAGGCAGTGACTACAGGCATACACTCACACACACACAATATCACACCAGTACTTGGCACAATGAATGTTGCGGCATTGTTGCCACGTAGTTTTTTTTTGTTCTTTTCAGTGAGGCAGGGCGATATTCACGGAGTGCTGGGGCGATATTCACAGAGTGCTGAAACGCCCTCGAGTAGGGTGCACTCACACTGCCACTTCGCACGATGTATCCGACCCCTTTCCAGTCCAAAGCGCTGTTCGCTTTTTTTTTTTGTTTTCTTTCTGTATCCACGGAGTGCTGGAACACCCTCACGTAGGGCACAATGACACTGCCACTTGCACAATGTATCTGACCTCTTTCTAGTCCAAAGCATTGTATCATTTTTGTTTTGTTTTGTGTCTCACAGGGCTGAAACGTGCTCACGCAGGAACACTCACACCACTACTTCGACGAATGTTTCTAACTTGGGTTTAGTCCAGACTCCATAGTGTGTGTTTTTTTGTTTGCCCCACTTCCTGATCCCTACGACGCGCCCATAACGCCCTCACTTTCGGATCCTGACGTGCTGTTGTTTCTTTCATTTTTCACCGCCTTTTTTTTTTCCAGAGTTACAGCTGTGAAGAAAACAAACTTCGTACGAGTACCAAGAGAAAAAAATGAATGGGACCCCGGCTCGGCAAAACTTGGTGCGCAGTGAAATTCAGGGTCGACAAAAAGAGGATCAGAGGTTGTGGTGGTTTCAGAGAGAGAACACCCCCTCATATCGTTCCACCAAACACACTGGAATCGGAACACACTGGAACGATTCCTCTCTTACAGAGGTCATACATAGTACTGACACTGAAGAACTAGGTTAAGAATGAAAAGCATTGTACCATTTTTTTCTTTTTGTTTTATGTGTCTCACAGGGCTGTAACGTGCTCACGCAGGAACACTCACACCACTACTTCGAAGAATGTTTCTAACTCGGGTTTAGTCCAGACTCCATAGTGTTTTTTTTTTTTGTTTTCCCCACTTCCTGATACCTACGACGCGCCCATAACGCCCTCACATTCGGATCCTGACGTGCTGTTGTTTCTTTCTTTTTTCATTGTTTTTTTCTCTCCAGAGTTACAGCTGTGAAGAAAACGAACTTCGTAGGAGTACCAAGAGAAAAAATTGAATGGGACCCCGTCTCGGCAAAACTTGGTGCGCAGTGAAATTCAGAGTCGACAAAAAGAGGATCAGCGGTTGTGGTGGTTTCAGAGAGAGAACACCCCCTCATGTCGTTCCACCAAACACACTGGAATCGGAACACACTGGAACGATTCCTCTACTACAGAGGTCATACATAGTACGGACACTGAAGAACTAGGTTACGAATGAAAAACACAAGAGCGTTCCCTCGCTCAACACGCTAGAAGAATCCCTTATTGCAGAGGCCATACATAGTATAACCTTTAACAAAGTTCAAAAGAAAACGGAAGGAAAAGAGGTGGTGGTGGCCGCAGCTGCCAATTCTTGTGGGCAAATCCCCAAGAGGGCAGTTGTAAGAATTTGTATGAATAACTGCAAGACCAGGAACAAATCATGCATCTGGCTCTCCACAGATGCAACTCCACTCTCACAGAGGCACTCCTGGCATTCTGGTTGTAATCCATGCCAATCTCATCCGCTTTTAACAAAGAGAAACAGAGCAAAACTAGATGACCTGTTCCGGCTTCGTTCGCAGAAACAAACACGACAGGTGATACAGTAAAAACTTAAAAAGGTGGAGGCAACCGCCGGATGCAAACTCTCTCTCTCTCTCTCTCACACACAGACACACACACACACAAAAAAAAAAACAAAAAAAAAAA